TCAGTGTAAATCGATCGGCCTTGGAGTGAAAGATCGGAAGATTATTGAATGTGTCAAGCATGAATACGTATGACAAGTGCGCGGAGAAACCCTCGTCTTCCTATCATCGATCTGCGTCTGTCTTAAAATATTAGAAGAGACAAAATTGGACGGATAAAAAGCTCCTTTAAAAAAAGAGTGTGTTACGGGAGGACGTGTCAAAATTATATTTTGAAAATAGACTTAAAAATAAAAATTTGATTTTTTTTTTTTTTTTTTACAAAAAAAGATACGTCGCGCGAAGTATGAAAAATTATATTTCAGAAGACGATTATTCGGCGAAATAATTTGCGAGATGGAGACTGCAAAATCAATGTTCGGTCTGGCAAGTTGCGTAACCGATGTTTTTAATTCCTTCTCGGTTGAACTCCTCAATTAAAAGTCTATCGGTGAAAGTTTATCGACCAGGATTTTTATATTGTAGTATCGCCGACTTTCATCTGCACGTTTCATGCGCATACATTAAACAATTTTCGCGAAAGGTTTCAGCGTATTTTTTTTTCTTCTGCACTGTTAAATATATATAATGCCAAATTTAACCCTATTTGAGTGGCCACTGTTTCTACTTAATATATAGTTACTTTTAAATAAAACAATGTAATTGTTATAATAACCCAAATTTGGGTTAAATTTGAATTGTTTTGAATTATTTAACTCCATTGCTTTAGTTAAAAATATATATTAAGTAAGAAAAATATATATTAAGTAAGAGTAGCGGCAACTTAAATAAGGTTAAATTTGACACTAATAGATTTAACGGTGCAGAAGAAAAAATATGCTGAAACCTTTTGCAAAATCCTATAATATATACGCATAAAACGTGCAGATGAAAGTCGGTGATATAAAAATCTAGTCGATAAACTTTAACGGTGTGTTCGCGACACGTTCCATGTGTGTCATTTTTTTGTGTTTGTGACACGTTGTCGTTTGCATTCGACCGCTTCGGTCGCGATAGATGTCAAAATAGGCAGGAAGGTGCACGTACAGGAGAAAAGATAGCATTCTGTTTCGCGAAGACCATAAATCCTGGCAATAGCGACCGATTCTCTCTCTCTCTCTCTCTCTCTCTCTCTCTCTTTCTCGCGGTAACCCGCGATAACTCTACATTTCACGATGGAGAAAATGTAACACCGGCGCGGACGTGCGGCATATTATAGGCTGCCTGGCAACAGGTTGTAAAAATATTTTAGAGCGGTTACGTATTCGCGCGCGCGCGCGCGCGCGACGCTGATTGCTGACACTCTCTCTCTTTCTCTCTCTGTCGTTATCTTAATCACAAGTTCTAGCGCTGTTACTGGCGTTACAAGTACTATCATTGCTGCTACCAGTTGCGGACACACCGTGGTCCCCGTCGTTAAATATCATCACGACTATTATCAGCGCTTTATTATTATCATTATATTGTGCTCGTTTTCGAGCAAAAATGCCGACGAAGCTTATACGAATAGGAAAGCGAGCCTCTCGTTACTTTTCTCGGCTGTACCGAGATTTTATAAATAAATAAATAAAAAACGTCAATCTGAAAATGAACAGCATTACTTTCTCCGATAACGTATTATATATGTATCTTGATATATTGTGTGGAAAGAATGACAACACACATTTAATATTGACAAATCGATTAATATGCGGTTGCTAAAACGGTAAGCGATAATATCACGATGGAAATGGTAGTTGAATGTAAAACTCGATGTTTCACTTACCGTTAAATCGTGTTCTATTATGTACCGTGTCCTTGTCTAATTTACCTGTCTTTTTTTTCTTTATTATTGTAGAATTATTTCCATATTTTCAGCAAATTAATACCTATTTACGTTGTTACGGAAATGAATGAGATTGTTAAAAAGCCACAAAAAGTTTATTAACATTTATTATCGGGAGGCAAGTTCGAGTTGCTAATTGCGTATACAAAGTACGAGAAAGTACAAGAGAAAAAAGCACAGAAGCCGCGAATACGCTGTGTCAACACGGGAGACAGTCGAAAGGAACGTCGATGTTTAATGTTCGAAAGGAATAAATTATCTCCGACTTGGCTTCTTTATATTCGCGATACATCGGCGCGTCTCTCGAACGCGCGCGCTTGAGAATTCGCGCGTTCCGAACGGAACTCGCGCGCGCGGTCGCCACGCCGCGCCGCACCGCGCGCCGCGGGTCCGATCCCTTTCCTTCGCGCTAGCATGCATTTGGCATTGACACGTGTGCGAAATCAGTGAGTCGTGTCTGCGATAGCGTCGGCTTTTTCCCGCCCCAAGTACGTAAGTACCGGGCGTTACGTTACGCCGAGCGAGGCCGTGTATACGCGTCCCTGCGATTGCTAATCGGACGCGTCTGATAAGATTCGCGCGAAATCGAAGCGCGCCCGTGTCGCCGCGATCCTTGACTGGCGCGCATTCAGACGGGGGACGGTCTGTCGACCAGTAATCGCGTTCACCTGTATGTTAAAAAACGCGTTACTCACGTCTCAATTCGAGAACGAGAATGTCTATCTTTCGTGAAGCGACATTGATTGACATGGAATTTTCGATAACCAGTTCGTCGAATGACGATAGATGGCTCTTCAGATTCTTTATCCCGAAATGACTCTACAATATATATTACGCAGTAAGGAAATAAAATTGGAATCGTGCAAACAAATTAAATATATAAGCTCACATTAGAATAAATCTCGTAATCACTAAATCAATCAATAAATCACATTAGAATAAATCAAACATATAAAAGTATAAGCCGTATGGCGTATGCGAGCCAACACAGGATGATGGTGTGTAATAATTTCTTTACAATATCCAATCACACGCAAACTGCGCGCCGCGTACTTGTCGGTCTTGAAACACAGTTCATTACATGAGGCCGGAATAACGTGTAATAAATTAAATCGCCGTAACGATTCAATCACTTTGATGCTATACGCAACTCTAAGAATCTCCTTCCCCCGAATCAATAAATAATTTTATCAATCATTTCGAAATCAGTAAATAAGTTATTCCGGCCTCATGTAATGAACAATGTAATATAAAATCTGTGTTTCAAGTGACCGACAAGTACGCGGCGCGCAGTTTACGTATGGTTGGATACTGTAAAGAAATTATTACACACCATCCTGTGTTGGCTCGCATACGGCTTATACTTTAATATGTTTGGAATCGTGCAGTTTTGGTACTTTACTGACGCGACATCCCGAGACGTATTTCGCCTCGATCCCTCGGCTCTTTTACATATTAGCGATTAGCGATTATTCGCACTGTCCTCAGCGCGATAATGATGCGAAATTTTTGACGCGCGCATAGATACGCACGCGAGCCTCGAATGATATCTCACATTTCAAAGTTATACATAATTGCAATATGTGATGACCGTGTCTGCAAATAAAAATCCTTATCAGCGTTATCTTTGCACTTCCTCTGCTGTATGCGACGCGTGGCGTTACGCAATTCGTTACGCTATCGAAATCCTAAGAAGCTTAAAATTCTCTTCGCGTATAATGTTATCTGAGCGATATATGGTTTATCGCTATTAACCGACTAATTTTGTAATTTTTAATTTTAGACGTTATAGATTTTTTTTCTTTTCTTTGATTTGCAAGCATGACTCCAAATACCGTTTCATTAAAGTTGCTAATGTTATATAAGAGGGAGAGGGGGAGAGAGAGAGAGAGAGAGAGAGAGATAATAAAAGAAATACTGTAGTATCATTCAATGTAATTATGCACGAAAATAATAATTGAAAGTTTTTTTTGGAAGAATTTTGACTAAATTTACTGATTAATTTAATCAATATTGAATATCTTTTTTATTTAAAACAATTTTTATACGGTGCAAAATTATTTATGCATTGCTCTAAATAATATAATTTTATTTTACATTGTTGTTAAAAGAGTTTATGTTTCTTCCTGTATGTGTTTGTGTTGAGTGTGTTTTTTCCCCTCCTCCTTCTCTTTCTCTTTCTCTCTTTTATAACGTAAAAGCTTAGGTATTTCGTCGTTCGAAATAAATAAACTGTAAATATTTTCCTTAATTTTTTGAAGATCAACATTTAGGGTCACCTCTTTTATTTCGCAAACTGCTCGCTCGATTTCCATGAAACAGCCTGTTGAGTAATTTAATGCTTCATTAGAATTAAAATTAAAAATAGATAATTCAAAATTGCGGATCTACAACATCGACCGAATTTTAAAAAAGTAATTTGATTATCGTGGAACTCGGTTTTTAGGGGTTTCAAGGATCGCTGAATCCGATTCTGGCTTCAAAATTCAAAAATTCAAAATTGTGGATTTCGTATGACGAACCAAATATTAAAGAAATAATATGATAATTTGATTATCATAAAATTCCATTTTAGGGATTTTTTTATTGCAAACCAAGTTTTCAATTTCGCTTTTTGAAGCATATTAACGCTACGTTAACAGTTAGTAATTGACTATTAGCAACAGACTGGAAAAAAATACATTTACAAACTATTACGTACTAACAATAAGTTAGTTATTAAGTTATGTACTAACAATAAGTATCACAAGTTACATGTATATTAAGAAATAATTTTGAATTTTCGAATTCTGAGGTCTGAATTGGATTCAGCGACTCCAAAAGCCCTTAGAAAGTAATATTTTTCACAAGTTACTTTGTTAGAAAGCACCGATCCTCAAAGGGCTAAACGAACTGTAGGCGCGACCGAAATTTAAAAGGCTGTCTGCGTTTAAAGTGTCGACAAAAACGTCGCATTCAATTGCTCTGATTGCACGATCGCATTTCGGTACTCCACCAGGTGCAGGGCATCCTGATTGTGGATCCTCGGGGGGGATCTCGGTTAATCGATCATCAGCGACACTTCCGAGTAAGACGGATGGACGGGCGGGGAGAGAGGGAGAAGGAGAGAGGGATGAAGGGAAGATGCGAGGACTCCCCGTCGAACGAGACGGGAAATGAAAGACGCGCGCGATCCAAGAGAGAATGTTTACATTCCAGGTCACCCGATTACACGAAAGGCATCTTCCAGACTATCGGCTTCAAGGAGTTTCACACTTACCTCATACTGCCTGACGAGGAACGCGCGAGCGAGAAGGTAAGCCATGCAATGAGCGATGAGATGGGACTTCGTCGAGCGGAGTCTACGGTCCGCGTTGCCGCGTGATATCCCGCCGTTCGCCTCGGCAGCTGTTTCCAGCTCGGGATCCCCGGGCCTTTTTTTCTGCCGTTAAAACGCACCGCGCGGCTCTACGCAACGTAATCTACCTCGTGGTCGTCGTATCGCGATATCTCCGCCTGCGGTCCTCCAACGTCGTATTTATTTTTACTCCTTTCACGGCGCGGTACTCTCGCGACTGTACGTCGCGGCTTTTTACGAGCCCCTTTCGATTTTAATATCGCGACAAAAACCATTCAGCGAGACCTGTCAAAGGCTCCGTCCGGATCCCGAGACGGCTCTCGGCCGAGATTGTATCTCCGGTGCAATTATAAGGGAGGATGAAAACGGGGGTGAGCGCGCGGATGCAGAAGATACGTTCGCATTTCGGCGAAAGTTGAAAAATAACGACAGACAAATTACAGTTTGAATCGCGCATCACGAATAATGTTTGATATTAATATTATGCAATTTTAATTATATAATATATCGCGTAATATAATTTAATTATATAATTTTTTATATAAAATCCTCATGCGCACAATTTTTTTTTATTATTCTGCTTTGTACAGTAAAATTATTGCGAGTGAAATCGGCGAACGGAAAGAAATTTTACCATCTCTGTTTTACGTTTTGAGACATATAACTAGTAATTAAGCGACATAGATCGATATCTGACTAAATTTACGCAGGGGAAAAAATTACTCCAACAAGGAATCGATGATTTAAAGCGCGTCACTAGGAGATACGCAAAGAGGCAAGATAAATGGGTGATGAACAGACTGATTCGGCGCGGTGATCGACAGGTAATTCATTTACCTCGCCTCATCATTAACGATATACGTGTATCATACTCTAATTAGCAGCTCGATCGAAATAACTCAATTCATCTTCGACGTGTAAATCATCTCTTTCTTTTTTTTCTCACGAAATACATAAGTAAACTAAATTGAGTGAAGTAACGAATTATACGACCGCTTTGCTTTTTTCGAGGTTCCCCCTGTTTATTCTTTAGATTGCACCGACGTGACAAACTGGGACAGTCGCGTCTTAGAACCTGCGGCGGCAATCGTTTCCGCGATACTGCACGGCGCGAAGCCCGAACTGCGGCCGTTAAATGAGAATTTCGAAAACCAAAAGACCACCGATAGAAGTACAAATACATATCATTATTGCCAGGTAATAATAAAAGTGCGATCGTAACAGATTTACTCTCTGATGCGATCGTAATAAAATTCTATACACTATATATAATTGTTTAAATATAATATTTTCTTATAAATTATAATATTAGCTTCGTGTGTGAAAAGCCCTTTTGCTTTGTTTTACACTCAACAAATTACATTCCACAAATATTTTAATAAAAACAAAGATTTAATTAGTTTCATTTATGTAAAATTTTAGATTTTAGATAATCGAAAATTGAGTTGTGCAATTCAAACTTTGTTAATACCTTCTCAACAAAATTGTGTCAAATACTTCCAACTCTTCCAAGTCTCAAAATAAAAGACCACTTTTCTTATATTAGGTATGTGAGAGGGTATTTGTTGAGGAACATCAATGGCAAGCCCACTTGAAAGGCGCAAAACACATGAAAGTCTTAAAAAAGAAGAAAAGAACTACTGAGGATACACAATCCCAGGAATATCAACTGGCTAGCTCGTGACAAATATCACTCTCGCTATGACATTGCACGAACACTTGTTTTTGCGTTTATACCAAGCCATTGAAACTGTGATTGTATTGTATTTTACTAATAATTCTCATGTAAATAATTTTTGAAAAATAAAATTGTTTTTTAACATTCGATGAGTCCTCATTACCACCATCTGTCGGTAAATAGGAATTCTTATTACTACCATCTGTAGGCTACTAGAAATCGATATTACTAGCAGTAGCTGATTCACTTATTAAGTACTGATAAAACAGATTTTGTCCATGCCTCTGGTTAATAACATACTCTTTGATGGTATTAGCAAACCGATAGTAAAAAATTTTTTCAAACAACATAATATGCATCTAAAAAGATTTCAAAGATATCTTTTTATAAAACATTTCTCTGTTCAAAACATTCTTTTTTATAAACGATCTTTATTTAAAACATTTTTAATATTTTTCTACGTGTTAAAGACGTCTTCAAGATGTTTAAAAGTTATCATTTATTACAGATCATTTTGGAGCATCTGTTTACTTTACGATTTTTATTGATTCATATGGCTTAAGCCATATCGATGGCCAATTGGTCAACGAATTTTGAAAATAACATAATCGACAGAAATGTTTACCGCCCATTAAAATTTTGTATGTATGTACTTCGATATCTTTTTAATTTTTATGATTTCATCACTGCGATCTAATTAGGACGCATTAAAAGGACGAAGAAGCAACACAAAATAGAAGTTGGAATTATTTAATAAATTATTTAATAAATTATTTAAGAGGATGCTAAAGCCGTCTGTTTTATCGACAAAAATACCATTTTTGTTGGATACAAAACACTTCGTATTAATTGCATAGAATAAAATTTCCTTTTTCACGATTAAAACACACATGCTAATGCATCTGGCTCTGGTGTATTTTGTACCAAAAGCAGGAAAAAATTAAGAAATTACAGATTTCGTTATCCATTTTAACCTCAACATGGCGACAAATACTATCAATTTGCCAAAACGTTTACTTTGTGAAAAAGTTAGGCAGGTTATACGCTCGAAATGAAGGCAGAGCCAGATGTACAATAAAGAAATGAATATAGGTGAGTCGTTAAAATCAAATTTAGAAGTCTAAATAAAAGTACATTTGTATCCTACAAATTCGTGTATATGTATGCGTGAGATATATTGATGTGGTAATAAACATGACACATCACTACACACTACTACATCAATATCGCACGCATACATACTCACAAATTGTCGGTAAAACAGCGGATTTTTGGAGTTTGATCTAGGATTTAGGATCCTCTTAATGCTTATATATTTTGTTAAACATTGATTTCTGTCTTTTATAATATATGTATATTTATTTAAATGAAAATTTCCTAGTCTACGATGTTCCTCTTGTATAATCTCAAACATCAACATTCTGTGAGTTTGGATTTCCGAAAATCGGCGAGATACTGACCAACATAAGGTAAGTCACTGAGCGAGATAATATAAACTATAAACTATAAAGTAAGCCACCGAAATTATTATTAAAGAAGAAAATCCATTGGGTTTTGGACCATTATTAAATAGAAGATAATCGACTGCTGAAAATCAAGAAGAAGTCGGTCAGAACGAGTATAAATAATTACGAAACATCGGGCTAATTATAAATCGTAAAATCGATAGCTCTGTTTTACAGATTGATAAAATAAGATAAATAAAAGTCAAACGACATAAGACAAGTATCCTTTAAAATTAATGTCCCTCATATTGGCTCGAATATGTGCGAAGAATGACATTAGACGCGCATAATGTAATTGAATACGTCAGTTGTGTTTAGTTATCCGTGCGTCAAACGAACAATGCGTCTGGAGCACAATGCAGCCCACATGCACGTTGCTTCGATTGTACCACGTTGAAATGCAAAAGGATGCTCTTTCAACCATTACGAGTGAAATTAATTCACGCGGATGAATTTCTTCCGCTTTCCTAATAAACCAGTAATCGCGGAAAGCGCAGAGCTGTTATTATAACAATTGTCGCATTGAAGTACTGCAAAAATCCATCTTCTTGGTGTGTAAATTAACGTTTGTACAGTTGAAAGTAACGTTTCATAACGCTCGAATGTGTTATCATAAATTGCGCTACTTCTGATAAGACGAAATATCTCGGAGATAAAATAAAATTACTAGATATGAAATTATTAGATAAAGTAAATAAAATTACTGGATTACTCAATAAATTAACTCTTCATAGAACTATTTTTTTATAAATAATTTTCACGATTCCAACGTCTCGACTTCGTGCAGACTTCTTTACTTTAAAACGCGACCTGCATACACGGAAAGAAACGAGTTGGCTGAAGAATACTAAAATTCAAGTTGGATACAGATCTGAAAAAATTTTATTGAGCCAAAAATTAAAATAATTATATTGGACGCTTAAACTTGCTGCTAGAATATTAAAATTTTTTGCAATATTACTCATCAATATTGAGTTTCTAACATATTTACTTTAATGATTCAATAAAACTGTTTGCAGGTCTGTATCTAGCTAAATTTTAAGATCTTTCAGCAAAATCGTTTTTGCTGCGTGTCTGCACGGTTTTTTTTTAATACCGTCGGCTTTACTGCTATCGGTCATATCGTAAATGATACGAGAAAATACACACACGTATATACACACATATCAGTATAATATTTTTTTTATTTTAGCGTATGCTGTCATGCAACGTATATATGCACGTTCGAGAAGATCGCATGCATCGGTTGCGTGCAGTCCGCCGTTTACCGAGTCATTGTACCCCCGGCACGCACTAATCGCTATTACATATGCACGTTGCATTAAGGCAGGTCGCTGATGCACGTCGGCGAAGTACTTTCGAGTAGGAAGCGACCGGCTCTTTCTTCATTTCTCTCGGCTCGCAAATGCGGCATGCGAATCTTTGAAAGCGATCCTCCGCGGCGGCGCAGCGAAAGTCTAGAATTTCCGCCGATGAGATTTCCGCCCGAACGAAATATCTTCTTAACGAGCGTGCGGCACGTAAACTCGACTGCGCCGAGCGCATCTTCGTCACGTAGCGCGAGGAATAAAATAATCGCGCGGTGAAATTGAATTTCACGAAGCGAAGTAACAGTTGAATAAAGTTATACGTGAATCAAGATCCTCGGCACTTCATGTTATTGTCTCTTTGACAGCTCTCGGCGCTTCGATGTGATTGCACAGATTGGAGCGAAAAGCCTGGCGTGGCAGGCGCCGCGAAGAGCCTACCGGCAGATTCGATTTTGCACAAAGGCGCGCGACAGTTAAGGTCACTCTGCTGTATGCGAAGAGAATAATGACTCGCCTCCAGTGTCTCACACGATGCGTGAGTCACAAAGTTACGGCATGAAAGGAATCGCGCCGTATACCGCGGTGGATCGTTAAGTTGATCACCTTGCTCCTCCTTCCGCTAATCACCCGATAAATCATACCGGTAACGAACGGAACGCCGCTCGCGTATTCTTGGGCCGCTGTCACGATCCATTATAATAATCTGCGTTTTCGCAAATTGCCTTAAATGCAACAATTCGCTCGAATTTCCGCGTACGTCAATGAATTTATCGCGGGATTATCATCTAAAATATCCCAAGTGGCAAGGTGACGTCAAATAACATTTTAATAATGTCTTAATGACGTTTTTAACGTCAATAAGACGTTATTAAAATATCATTTGACGTCACCTTGCTACTTGAGATTTTTCTTTTCAAAAATATTGTCCTGCAAATTTTTATACGTTTAAATTCTTGCTTTCCGACGAACGAATTCCCGCGTTGTCATGTACACCTGACGGGAACACGTGCGGATATTTTACGTGCCAGCTGGACAACCTGCAGCTTCACGTTTGTCTGCCGCTTCGTGAGTCATTGCCCTTCCGACGCGCGATTCTTATCATTGGTGTGCTTTTCTGCGACGCTGATCCGCTAATATGTGATAGTTATGCGATATGCTCCGATAAGTCGATCGAAATAGATAAAGCCATTAGATAGAAGCGGTAGAATCTTTTCCTGCTACCGATAATCGCATTTTTTTAGAGAGATTTTTGTAGCGAATTTTCCAGCATTGGCATATCTAATATATTTTTAGATGAATTCTTCTAGCGAATTTTACAGCATTCGTACACGGAAAGAACGATTTCATTGAAAGGTCTAAAAATTTTGCTGAATACAGATCTGAAAATAATTTTTGTTTAATAATCAAAATAATTTGTTGGAAAGTTAAAAATGATAGACATTGCTATAAAACGTTTTGATATTCTAGCAATCATTTTGATTTTCCAACAAAATTATTTTAACTATTGAACAAAAATTACTTTCTGATCTGGATCCAGTAAAATTGTTCTTTCCGTGTATACCTAGTAATATAACATTAGCAACGATCAAATTTTTAATAAACCTCAAAAAAAAACATTTGCTGCGACTTCTGCAAAAATCCTTGTAAATGAAAAATATCGGAATATTTACAGCGAAACGATATCTTTCGCCTATCTTTGATACACGCGACGGGATGAAATTTTTGATGAATCATGCGTATCAGGAGCGTCGCTATTCGAGGGAGAACCGACGCAATTTTTGGGACATAAAGCTGCTAATTGGCTAAATGCAATTAAAGCCACGTATACGTGGAAGCCGCGGCCTCTCGCGCCGCGCGAGTGCTAATGTTGAGTTCCGCTTAGTGCGATTCTTAACGTGCGATCGCGAAATTTCTGACAGAATGTGTTACACAGCCGGCTGCGATGCTGTAGCGCGCGAATCCACGCTGCAGGAGGCAGTGTCGAGAGTGGGGGCGTCTAGCTGACTGGCCGCGCGGAGCGAAACTGTCTCGGCGTTTGCTTGCACGCCGTCGCTTTGACAGTGGTGTAACAACCTTCGTGAGAGCCGTGTGTGTGCCGTGCCGTGCAGCTGTGCCCGTGCCGTGCCCGTGCGTCGTGTGACTGCGAGTTGACTGAGAGAAAAAAAAAGGGAATTACCGCTGGCGGTGTTTTCGGAAAATCGATCGCCACACTCGGGGAGCGAGGACCGAATTCGTGGCGCTGTCGCTCGTTCGAAAGTTCAGCGCGCAGCTCGCGACGACGCGCCTAATCAGACCTTTACCTTGGAACCTCGTTACTGTACGCCAGTTAAATTACAGGCGTCTCGCTGGTGAGATCGGGAAGACACACTGCGCGTTCAAGGTTTTCCCCCTGACGAGACGAGAGGACTCTCACGGACCGCGAAAGCGCGATAAATCGACGCGCGGGCGCGATTTCAAAACTCTCCCCTTCGCGCGGAGGGAGAGAGAAGCGCGCAGTCGAGCGGTGGATCGGCGCGATCGATGCCCCGCCGCCGGTCCAGTGAGAGACCGACGATTTTAAACACATGCGCGGTCGTTTGAGTAAACATTAGAAGACGAGACAGAGTTGACCGTTGGCAGAGACACAAGGGAACCATTATTGCGACAGTCCGCGGGCACACGTTGTGTGTGGTCTGTGCGCGTGATTAAAACGTGATATTTGCGCGCCGCGAAGTTCTTCTTCCACGAGGCGAGGATCGTCCTTTCTTTTTCGGGAAGTCGTTTCGGCTAATTTCCTGCCCGGTTCCGGAAGATACCGGAAGTGCATATTGACTGTTGAGCAGCGAGGAAGAACGATGTGTCTGGTGACTCCTCCGTGAAAGGATCCGATCTCATTTAATAACTCAATTGCAACAATGTCACAGCTCGTCTCGCTTCGTCTGAAGGTAAATCACTCTTTTTTTTTTCTTCGTAGATCGTGTTTATTCTTCGTGTACTTCGTATGCGGGAATATCGTGAGTTTGCTGTTTGGATTGCTGACGAATGCTTGCGGATTGTAAATGTTACTGTTGGGACACGCGAGATTTGTATGTGATTCAAAAGGAAGGATGACATAATTATATGTGACAATAGTGCATGACACTCGATATGAATTACTCCATAAAGCTTTAATTGCATCTTTCATTTATATCTATCTGTTTTTTTCACTCATTTTTTTTTCTTATCAAGTTCCAAAGATAACAAAGAGTGTATTTGGTTGTATGCAGATTCAAGATTTATTATAAAATGTTTTGACTAGTCTAAATCGAGACATGCGATTAAATAACTTCTTTGGAAGTTTCTTTGTTTTCCTGAATCCTATACGTGCTATATATCGTGTGTCCGATTAAAATGCAGATTACGCTTTTATCTTCGTTTTTATCGCGGTAACCCTAAGCCAACTCTCTTGCTCTCTTAAGGAAGCCACAAATAATGCGCCTTACTTATTCCATGATAAATTTCCGTGACCGTGATATCTCGAGAAAAAGAAATAACACGCGTCGTATATATGCAATTGGATTAGCGACTGTGTCGCCGTCAATATTTTTATGTGATATAAAAAAGAGCCACTTCCGTATACATATCACGGTAAAAAATCTCCCAATGCCACAAAGGACGTAATAATGAATGCCATGAGGTGATTCACGAACTTGAAATTGTACCGCTGAATATAGCAATCGACAAGTTGCTCGATCATATAATTTTCGCTTGAGTGATTCGCACCACAATTCACTTCATGACGTGTCGTTCCTCAGTTCCGCAATCTCTGCATATATTCAACGATTTTGCAGGATTTATATGTAGGTATAACGGAGACTTTCGTGGAATTAATTTTCACGCGGAGGTAAATCCTGATACAATACGTTCGCGCGCGGACGCCTCGCGGACACGCGAACGGATAAGACACGAAAGCAAAAGAAATCGTTATGCTTGATACACGTGGAATTGCAGATTTCAGCCTTATAACATCTATATACCGATGAGCGATAGAGATCCGGCATCCTCGAAATTTCTCCTCTACTCGCTCCGCGGAAAATTCAAGTTTTAAGGAGAGAAACTCCTCGTTGTTATTTTGTGAAAAAAACTTCCTTCTCTCGCTCGGTTTTAAATGAAAAAAAAATGTTAGAAAGTTAATATAACTTGCGGAAGCGGAAAACTTAGTAGAATCTTGATGCGTCGATTCTGCATGGTAATGAAATTAAAGCGTGTTTGTTCTGATAAAGCGCCCGCAATTTAGAACCTAATTACTGCGGAATGAGAGAAAGGACGCATCGACGCGCGCCGGGGGAAACAGTTAATTAAAACGCGATGTGAGACAAGTAAATCAAAGTTTATCTGCACCGAGCTAATTCTCGCGGTCAGCTCCACCGTGATATCTCGACCGAATTAATTTCTCGCGCGAACGCAATGCACGCGCGGAATGCACGCGACCCCGTCGTGCGACTCTCGACGTGATCAATATTCAACGCAGTCGCTATCATATATACGAGCACGTCGACGGTTCCATTTTTCAAAATATTAATAACGCTTTTATAATCGCCGGGTTAGAGAATTTCTTTGTGCGCGCGTTAAAGCGCGAAGACACAGACGGCGAGCTTTAAGTGAGCTTAAAGCGGCGTCTACAGTAAGATCTTAAGATGTAAAACTTAAGCTTTAAGCCGTAAGAAATTGATCAATCATAGTCAATTATTCTTCTCACATGCGACTGTGATTGGTTAATTTCTTACGGCTTAAGCTTAAGTTTTACGTCTTAAAATCTCATTGTAGACGCCGCTTAAAGGCCCATCTACAATGAGAGTAGTAAGTCATAAGCCGTAAGAAATTGATCAAAATCATAGTTGAATATGAGAAGAATAATCGACTGTGATTGGTCAATTTTTTACGTCTTACAGTACGACTTAATACTCTCATTGTAGATGGACCTTTAAGCATCGTCTACCATGAGGCTTATGATTTAAGAAAATTGACAAATCATAGTCAATTATTCTCACGTGAGAAGAGTAACCGATTGGTCAATTTTCTTAAATCTTAAATCTTAAGTCCCATTGTAGACGCCGCTTTAATTTTAGCCGAGCGGCTATGCCGCTTTAGCGGAGGAGAAGAACTCTTTATTGTGCCGCGAATGAAACCGCGCGAAACGCAGAACGGGTCGACTCGAGCGAGATTCGCGCATTCGTTCGCGCGCGGCACGGTCGCATCTGCCGAAGCGATCAACATCACCGGCAACGGCCGGACGATTTTCCTGTTAGCTCGCTTCCCTGCGCCGAAGGGGAGCTTGAACTTGGAAACCGCATTTGACGCATAATCGCGCCGTAAGTCCGTCAGCCCGTAAATGTAATCATGACGCAACGACGGTGGACGTCGTATACCCTCATCGAGCTTCGTCGCTCGTCGATCTCTTGGAGGCAACGCGACAACGTTTGTTTTCCGCGAGCGTCCCCGCTTCGTCTTTTCAACTCGCTCCATTTCGCTCGATTAAACCGTTAACGCGCCAAGAAGCTGCGTCTAAAGGCTTTGCCGCTTTGATTAAGATTACGATTTTTCTCAGCAAAACGAGTCGCCTTATTAATTTAACGAGCTGATACCTAAGCTTACTTCACGCATTTGTTGTCGACTGCACTGTCAATCGTGAATGAATTATTTAATTGCCATATCAGTCTTTGCCGTTAATTAGAGCGTGGGCGCACCTACCCGGCAATTAGCAAGTAGGTCATTCGATCGTTCGCTGGGAACGTAAAGGGGAAAGCGTGAGGCGCAGATTCATCAACTGCTGACGGCGTGTTTCATCGATCGGCTGGTATAATCGAAAATTCCGCATCGTCTCTATATAAGCCGGGCGAAAAATCGATTCCCTAAACGTGCCCGTTCAGCTCGTTAATTTTCCTGCCAGGAATTAAGTTCCCTGCTCGAGATCGTTTATCTTACAGCGAAAAATACGTTATAACGAAAAGCTGCAACTTTAACAATAATTTTACCTAAAAGTTTGTAAAATATAGAAGTAATAAAAATATTAAAAAGTTCAATAATACGGTCAATATAATCAAATATAATGTTTGCTCTTTTAATTTTTTTTTTTTCAGGCTCTCTTAAACGAGATATATATCTATTTAAAATAATTTCTGGAAGAAAACAATAAAAGCTTCCTGTTTTAGTTGCAAACAGGAAGCTAAAAGTATTTGCGACGCGTGCCATTATTTTAATTTCAGCGCAGCGGAATACAGGAGATTGCGGTGCACACATCACGATATTGCGCAACTAGCGGGAAAAAAATATGGAAAGCCTGGCGGTTTCGAAAACTCTCGAAAAAATCACAACATCACGGGGTTAATATGCTGATGAAATATATAGAAATCGGCGAACTTGTTGATTCCGAGGAACACCCCACGGATATCGGAAAACGCTTTTAAACGTTTTGCACTATGATCTATATTCGTCGCAGATGCGAGAACGGTGCGAAAGCCAGAGCACTCGTATAACGCGGGCGGTCATTCGACGCGTTACGAACGGTACCACGAACCGTCCGTTTTATTTGGACGTGAGATAATTAAACGAAATATTACTTGTTGCCATAATTTATCGTATAAAACGAAACGATGCCAGAGAATTTCTTGAGAGAAGCTATTGTTCTTACAGCGAATTTTACGTTCCAATAATAGTCGGCGTTCTAATATTCCAATTGAGGATCGAAGACACTCAGCTTGCAGTGGACAACAACTGATATTGAGTTATCACTTGAACTTTCATTTCTTACACGCGTAATAAAAAATAATAATCTTTCATTGATGCGCTCTCCGAACGTGAAATGCACAGAATGGAAGATATTTTATCTACTTGACAGCTGTGCGAGATAAGGCGGCTATCAGTGTTACGTCATGCGCTAAATGTTAAGGGTACTGAAACAGATACCGTGTCCCTGGAATCACAAATGCAGCTCGGCGCACGTATATGTATATACACAATGTGAAATTAGACCGCACAGCAGCCGTGCGTGCAAAGTCGGTATAGCTTTAGCATTTTACAGTGCCATGCGGGCCGTTCGCTCCAATTACGAATCCACTTTGTGCCGCAATTTTCGATTTTCTGGGTCAATCCCGGCATGTCCGTAATTTATTGCCTTCATGCTCAAGACGTTTATGCGATTTCAGATAATGCCGAAATGACAGTTAACGTTCGCCGTGATATACATCTATAATTTTCTTCCCACCGACGCGACGTTCCGCGTGCCGAAGCGAAGAGACGCGCGCTAATAATATCCCGCTTATTCCGAGTTAAGAAGCGATTTCTTGAAGTTAATGCAAGCTAAATTGACGCTTCGATTGGAGAATCGAATATTTGAAATCAAACGTTTCGGACTGTCATTCCGAATCGAGCGATCGCCTCTCCCTGTCGTCAAGAAAGAGAAAATATTCGCGACAGTCGCGCACGTGTTTTTTTCCGCCGCTCATCGCTCTGCTTTCGTTCGCGCGCGCGCGCGCGCGTCGCTTCTTTCCCGCTTTCATTTACAATCAAACGTACGCCGATGCTCGTTGACGCATACGCGCGTACAACCGGAGGGGGATTTTACTCGGAGGTTTCCTGTCTTCGTCCGGGATATGACGATATATCCCCCCTGCTTGGCCAGTGGCGTAAGCATTCAGAAAAATGCCGCGATCTAAGCTCGACTTCTACCGACCGCAGAGTCACATATATTTTTAAAATAATACAAATCAATAAAAAAAAACTACGAGTCAACACGCAAGACTTGGCGCGTAAAAATTCTTATATCAATTTATTCATTATATTATAATACATATTCTTCAACTTCTTTCTAAATTGATTTAAGATTTAAACAAAATATATGTAAACAAAATTACAATCTAAAATATCTGACTCTTAATTTTAAAATAATACAAATTAATCAAAAAGG